ATAATTCTAAAGTCAATTATTATAAATTTGGCAGTAATATACTAGCGGAATTTCAGTAGATTTCATAGTGACCTTTGCACAATATATTTTTAATTACCACAATAACTAATAGCAAATTTCAGCATTATTCGACTACGTTTTTCTTTTAAGATCTCAGATGAAGCTTTTATTAACGTTCATTGATTTATTTAAGTATAAGAACTGGATTAATCGAAATCCATAATGTCGACAGATTCATTTCGTCGTTTAAACGTTTTATGTTTCGCTAATGACACATCAATAGAGGTGTCTCTGGAATGGAAAAACGACAACAACCTTGTAAAAAAATCTTATTTTGTACCATGTAAAACGTCACATGCCCAAAAAGTTTTTGTGAATTGTGTTCTTATTTTTTAAGATTCTCTTAGTAAATACTCTGAGGTTTTGTTGTGTAAATATGTTAGTATTAGTTCTTGTCCTTTTATTTATTCTGTGGTATCGATTACTATCGTCTGTATAGTTTTAATATTAAAATATAATTCTTGGTTACAATATATCATTATAATGAAAATCATAATAAGTTACGAAGTGATTCCCATCGGCCAACGATTCTCACCAGAATTACACAATCTCACTGCTGCTTGTATTCAAGGAGTATAAAATATTTATAGTAACAAGTTGTATAATTATGTGTGTGTGGCAGAAAGTAATTGTGTTCTGTGACGATGTGTGACTGCCCTGTTTAGAGAGTAATAGGTTATGTGGCCGCCTTATAGTAATGACATGCATAATTTATCTTCATTTTGCTTCTGCTTCTGCACTGGACCTTTCAATGCGATCTCAAACAGTCCCTTACATAGCTTCAATTCCGTCTTCTCACAAGCCTCTTTCTTTTTAATCCTTTAGATCAGAATGAATTTAGAAATACTCATCTGGCAACTAAATCGAGTCCAAGGGGGAGGCATTGGCTGTTAGATTGGACATAGGGAAGGCCTTTGATTGGGTCTGGCACAAAGCGCTTCTTTCGAAGCTTCCTTTATGGGCTTCCCGAGAAATTGTGCAATTGGATCAGCAGTTTTCTGGCTGATCGGAGCATGAAGGTCGTAGTGGACGGTGCGTGCTCCGATTACAAGTCTATTAACGCGGGTTTCCCACAAGGCTGCGTGCTATCACCGACGCTGTTTCTTCTGCATATCAATGATGTGTTGCAAATCGGTAAAATACTGAATTATGATATTAATAATGGAATGAAAAGATCAACACGTTTGTTCAACTCAAGTGTTTATTTAATACTGCTTACTTTCTAATACATCGAATATCACCTACAAGTACATAGGTTACTACACCTTTGGGGGCAAAAGAAAAAAAAAAGAATATTCTTAACTACTAAATTTCTTAGTCCTATGCTTATGAACAATGTCAATTTTACCATTTATATCAATTTTCACATTTACTCCTAAATTTTCTACAACTTTATAAGGTCCATCAAAAACACAATCTAATTTACGAGCACATTCATTTTTAAGTAAAACAAGATCATTCTTATTATAAAATACAGGATTACATGATTCATCATATTTATCTTTCCTTTTTTTCCTTACAAGTTATCAAATTATTTCTAGCATCTCTTAAGGCTACTTGCAATTTATATTTTAAATCTAAACAATAATTATCAGGACTATAAAGTGGTTCAACATCATAATTCAAATTATTTGGCAAGCGACATTGTCTACCAAAAACAAGTTCAAAAGGAGTGTACTTATTTTGAGTGTTCACACAATTATTATAACTAAAACACCAAAATGGAACCCAATGGGACCCTGAAAAATTCGAATTAGTACAATAAGTTCTTAGAAACGCACCTAAATGTTTATGAGCTATCTCAAGAGAACCGATTGATTGGTGGTGGTATGCAGTTGACGATAACTTATCGATTTTTAATAACTTACATACCTGTTCCATAACCTGAGACATGAATTCTGTCCCCCTATCTGTAGCTATACATTTCGGAATACCGAATCTTAAAATAAAGTTACTTACAAAAGCTTCTGCAACTGTAACAGCTTCTTTATTAGGCAATGGATACGCCTCTATATATTTTGTTAACTCGCATTGGAGAGTTAAAATATAACAATTTCCATTCTCATCCCTATCTAATGGTCCAACTAAATCGAGGAAAACCTTCTCGAACGCAGTCGACGCAGTGGAGGTTAAAGTCATAGGTTGTTTGGTATATTTACCTTGTTTCATTTTCTGACATAATGCGCATTTACTTATATATTTACGGATATCCGAATCTAGTCCTGGCCAATAGTATTTTCTCCTAATATTATTCGTCATTCTAGTTATTCCAGCATGTCCACTAGTGGGTAATAAATGATAGTCATTTAAAATAAATTGTTTCTCGTTTTCATCATAAATTCTCTCTATTCCTTTCAGTACACATATTCGGGGTCCGGACCATTCACTCAAAGATTTGACTTCACTACATATTCCTTTTCTAAACTCAGTATTCTTTTCATCTTCTACTATATATAATTATTTTACTTTTATTTTTTTGCAAAACTCTTTAAGTTTAATTGCAAATTCGGCTCGCGAGAAATGCAACTTAAAACCTAAATTAACACACAATAACATTTTATTTGGTACATACATAAAACATTCTTCTTCTATCACTTTATTATTTCCTCTCTTAAATTTTTCTATTACATCGCTGTCAGTCAACCTCAATTCTACGGAATCACATGGCTGTCTTAATAGTTCCACGATGCGTGTTTGATCAGGCCACTCTTCAGGGTACTTTTTAAGCGCAGTCTGTTCTACCGTACTATTCTGCTCCATCTTTTTCTTTTGTTGTCTCGTTACAACTGCCAAAACCTCCTCATTCATACATTTCAGTTCACTTGATGTTATACACACTCTGGATAATGCATCTGCAATTACATTATTCTTACCCTTCACATACACAATCTTAAAATCATACTCTTCAAGAATTAAACGATATTTAATTAACCTACTAGATGGATCCTTCATTCCAAATAAATAAATCAAAGGTTTGTGGTCAGTCATGATAGTAAAAGTTCTGCCAAATAAATAGGGTCTAAAATATTTAACTACCCACACTATTGCAGTTAATTCTTTTTCTATTACGGGATAGTTCTTTTCAGCTTTATTTAATGGTCTACTAGCATAAGCTATAGGTTTTCTATTTTTATTACACAGCACAGCTCCTACAGCAAAGTCTGAGGCGTCTGTTTGCAGTACAAATTCATTAGATTCACCAAAGTCTGAAATTAAATTAGAGAAATTAAAGCGTTTTTTAAGAAATAAAATGCATTTTGGCAATTTGAATTCCAAATGAAACGTACATCCCTTTTTAGTAAATTATTTAAAGGCATTGTTATGGTAGCAAATGAAGGTACAAATTTTCTATAGTAATTGCAAAAAGCAACAAAGCGTCTTACTTCATCGGCATTCTGAGGAACTGGAAACTTATCTAGAACTTTAGTTTTTTCTGGGTCAGGTGCTATACCATCAGCGGTTACTACATGACCAAGATATAAAATTTTCTTTTTTAGAAATTGACACTTAGCGGGATTTAGTTTTAAATTTACCTTCCTCAATCTTTCAAAAACGTCTATCAAATTTTGGTTAGGAGTAACTAAAGACCTTCCAAACGTAATAAGGTCATCTAAATAAATGAAACACTTCTCAAACGCTAGTCCTGACATTGCTATTGACATGACCCTAATGAAAGCACTACAGGAAGTTTTAAGACCCATCGGTAAACGTTTTAATTGGTAATGAAAAAGCTGTGTATTTTCTGCTTTCAGGTGCTAATCTTACTTGGTAGTATCCTTGTTGTAAATCTAGATGAGTAAAGTAAATTGAACCAGATAGTGAGTCTAAGATGTCTGTTATGTTGGGTAACGGAAATTTATCATCTACAATGTTTTCATTTAATTTACGGAAATCGATTACTAAACGCCATTTCTGTGAGCTTTCAGACTTTTTAGGTACTAATAGTATAGGACTTGACCATTCGCTAGAAGATTCCTCGATAATGTCGTCATCGAGTATCTTTGTTATTTGTTTATTTACTTCAGTTTTTAATGCGTGTGGTAATCTATATTGTTTTGTATATATTGTATTAGTTTTATTTTTTAATGTAATGGTATGTTCGCAAATATTAGTAGTTTCTAATTTGTCACCTGGTAAGAAGAAAATATCAGAATATTTAGAACAAATGGTTTCAATAGATTCTTTCTTTTCATTGTTTAAATGATTAAGTTCTAATAAAGGTAACAAAGATTTGGCCCTATTGGAGCTACTTTTACATTGACCAAATTTAAAAATGTTATACTCTCTCAAAGGTTCCACATCTAAAGTAAAATTGTTTAATCTTATTTCCTCATCTCTAGTATTTAAAATCTTAATTGGAACGCGTTTATTTTTCGGTTGAACAATAGTTCCTGCCAAAAATACATCCTTTTCTATCTCTCTCGCGCACACAAAACAATCCTCTCCCACTTCCTTATTCAAATACACATAATGTATATTATGTGTATTTGAATAATGTAACAAACTCACTTCGAGGTGCGAGTACTAACGAGTTGCTACAATCAGGTTTATCGAAAATCGGTAAAATACAATGCTTACCATCAATTTGCAGCGTCAGCAAATTATTTTCTAAATCTATTTTAGCCTTATATCTAGTCATAAAATCTAATCCTAATATTTCATCAACGGCGATAGGTATATTCTTGAAACTATAAAACTTGCTCGTAAATTTATCATATTTAGAACTGTAAATGTCTAAAATAACATTACTCGAAGCTTCGATTTTTCCTCCGATTCCATTTACTACTAAGTTATTGTAAAATATTTCACTCGACTTAGGAATTTGTTCTTCCTTAATTACCGAAATATATGCACCGGTATCTACTAGTAGTATAATCTTCCTATTCTTAACATAAAAATTTACGAATTTAGTGTTACCTCTACAAGCAAAAACTAAGTTATTAAGTCCGAAAAAACTGGTTACTCTCTCTCTCATCAGTTGGGTGTTCTACGTTATCAGCAGTTCGTACTGGCCTATCATTTTGTAACGCTAATATTCTATTGTTAAAATTACCTTTCTTGTTGTTGTATCTCTTTCTGTTGTTGTAGAACATGTTTTGTCCTCTACCTCGCGGCGTATACTGGAATCTATTACCTTGATATCTATTAAAATTGTTATTATTATTTTGGAAGTTAGTACCTCTGTTGTTGTAATTGTGGTAATTTGTCTGGAACCCTCGACCTCTGGTTTGGAATCTAAAAGAACGATTATTGTATCTACCTCGACCTCTAGGAAAAGATGAAATATTCATTACCTCTGCCTGAGTAGATGACGATGGAGTGGATTCATCCTTAGCCGCTTGAATGGCTTCTTTTAGCGATGTGTAATTTCTAGCAGCTATAATCGTACTTAACTTTTCATTTTTAAGTCCATCTGTAAATTTTTAATCACCATTTTTTCATTAATTGGTTTCGGAACTGTACTTTTAGTAACGTCACCCTCAGCCTGTGAAATATTCAAATCGGTTAATAGTTTTTCAAGTTGAGATCCGTATTGTTCAATAGTCCTATAGCCCTGATTCAGAGACTGTATCTGATTATGTATTGCAGTGAAAGATTTTTTGTCAATAACTTATTACGAAAATCTTGAATCATCAAGTCTACTGAAGTATAAGAATTGGATACGCGCAACTTAGCATTTTCTGATAGCCTGCCCTTGAGGACAAATTTAATTAAAAGTTGCTGGCCTTCACTACTAAGCATGTCTGCATACATTTCCACAGCATCAATCAATCGTTTTGTAGTATCTTCCCTATCATCTAAAAGAGGTATAAAGCTACAAGCAGTTTTCAAATCAAAATCCATCTTTTCTGATTTCATCTCTAAGCTGGGTGTAACACAAAATTTCGCTATTTCTGCAAATAAAGAACAAATTTTGTCATATGTTTCAGTAATTAAAGATATTTTCGACTTATCCTTTATATTACTTAATGTAGAAAATATATCTTTACTATTATTTAAATATATCTCGGCTTCGTTCAACTTATTTAACGCAATAGAACCTTTATACCTACTTTGTCCCTTTTTAATCAAATATTTCCTTATTTCTGACAATTGCTCATAATCTTTTATTATTTTCTCAGCCATAATATCATTAATTTCATATAGAAGCTAAAGTTAACTTGCACTCATATTTCATTCAATTGATTTTAATTTTATTCTAAAATGAACCACAGTCATACAGTGTACCGATTACAAATGCTGAATTGCATCTCGACCGATCGCAGCGGTCGGAATTCTTAGAACTAACACATTTTTTTAAAACTATTTTAAATGTTATAGAGAAACAAAATTAAACATGCTACCTAAATTTAACATAATTTTCGAAAAGAAGTTTATAAAATTACCAATGTCACTATAATTGTCACGTAAAAAAAAGGTTTCACTCACTCTCGTAAAAAGTAAACGGAAATGCAATTTTTAGGAACTGCACTAATATAAAACACACCACGGTTTCACGCTGCTTGTCTGCTCACGCGCAGAGTCCAAAAACAGGCGTCGTCATGTGGATATATACGACGTAGGGGCACTCGGAGAAGTCAAGGATCGCTCCCTTATGTCCAGGGTCCAGTACAGGAGTAGGCCGGTTACGTAGATATACGGTGTAGAGGCACTCGGAGAAAGTAAGGCAACACAATTTTACAAATCTTCTTCATTACGCGGTTCACGTCTGTTAGATAGTCTAGTGCGCATTCTTCTTAAAAATTCCGCATTAATTTTCTTTTCTACCCATTTCTTATATTTTTCTTTCAGCTTCAAAAATATGATAACAAACAGGACGATTGATGCCAAAATTAGAAATGTTGTGATCAATATATTGTTAATCTTTATATGATAATCCTTTTCTTCTATTTCCACAGTATTGGTTCCTCCAGTTTGGGCAATCGTCGTTTCATGTTCTTCATTTTTCGAATTACTATTCCCCATTTTGTTATTTGGCACGAACACGCGCATACACAGTCACAAAGTTAATAATTATATTCTTATTCATTATTATTACGTAGTTGCATTCACTGCCGAGGCACACAGGAATGTGCAAAGTCCGCACTTTTAGCCTGCAACCGGACACGCGCGCTTGGCATGGGTCGCCATGAATTATGATATTAATAATGGAATGAAAAGATCAACACGTTTGTTCAACTCGAGTGTTTATTTAATACTGTTTACTTTCTAATACATCGAATATCACCTACAAGTACATAGGTTACTTCAATACATTGCGATGCAGATGACAGCACTGGTGATGCTCTATACACTGGCCATGCTCGTATTTTTCGGGAAAACGTCGCCGAGTACCAGAACAAACTTGTGTCTGAAGTCAAGACTTTTTTGAATAAAGTCTCGGATTGGGGGCGACTAAATCTAGTCTAGTTTAATCCCCAGAAGAATCTCAAGCATGCCAAGCAAAGCATGCCAAGCTTTTTAGAGGCCAAATTGGCCTCTAAAAAGCTTGGCATGCTCAGCAGAGCGGGACAGTATTTCATGCCGGCACACCGCCTGTAACTTTACAAGGCGCAGGTTCGGCCTCACATAGAATACTGTTCCCATCTCTGGATAGGGGCTCCCCAGTGCCAGCTCCTTCCACTTGATCACATGCAGCGCAGAGGGGTTCGAATCATCGACGACCGAGTTCTTTCCGATCGGCTTGACTCACTGGCTTTGCGTAGAGATTTTGTATCTTTTTGCGTACTTTATCGCATTTACCACGTGGAGTGCTCTGAGGAATTGTTCGGACTAATTCCAGCCGCTCAATTTCACCATCGCACATCACGATAAAACTTGCGATACCATCCATATCATCTGCACGATTGGCCGTCCACCACTGTGTGATTTAGAAGATGTTTTCTTCCTCGTATAACTTCCTTGTGGAATCGATTACCACCAGCGATTTTTCCGGACCGATACGACTTAGGGACCTTCAAGAAAAGAGCCTACTCCTTTTTAAAAGACCGCCAAGGCATCTGCAATTCCCCTCGTGTTGCAGTTGTTTATGGGCAACGGTAGTCACTTACCATCAGGTGAGCCACATGCTCATTTGCCCCCTCTCCTATAAAAAAAATTAAAAAAATCTAAGGCTGTAGGTTGCGATGATGTTAGTAGAGTCATGATTGCTAATATAGTAGAATACCTTCGCCCTGCAGTCACACATATTGTTAACTTTTCCCTTGACTCGGGTCGTAAGACCTCTTCCTAAATTATTCAATCCTACTCTTCCTAATCACGTTCGTCTATAATTGATATAGGACGAAAAACCTATGTTTGGAAGCCTGTTTTCATAAGCTAATTTCCAATTTCATATAATTTTCAGTCCGGGTTCCGTACTGGTCACAGCGCCACAGCTGCCTTACAAATAACTGACAATATTAGAGAGGGTATGGAAAACAAGAAAGATACAGTTGTGGTGCTCATAGACTTTTCTAATGCTTTTAACATAGTTAAGCATGATAACCTTCTTGCTATCCTTTACTATTTGAAGTTTGCACCGTCAGTCAAGAAACAAAAATGAGAAAACAACATGAGAACCACTCCAAAGTGGTTCTCTTCTGCGGACGTCCGCAGTCTGTCCACCTGGAGCAAATAACTTCATAGTGGGTTGACCTGATTTCTAGCGTACCGCAAGATGGTATATTTTACCTATTAATCTTCTCTGTTTTTATTAATCCCATCACATCCAATATTGATTTTTCGTACCATCTGCAAAGGCGTAGGTACCTTGGGGCTAGGCGGGCAATGCCCTGAAGTCCCCAAGCTCAAGGGGCCCTTCAACCTCAATGAACGACGTTCGAAAAAATTATACATATAATATAGTTACTAGCAGAATTAAAAAAATTACTTTTTGGCTCCTGACCAAGAAACCTCGAACGACACAAACAGAAACCACAAAAATTTCTCCCATTTCCAGAACCAGTGGCGTAGCGTGCCATAGATGGGCCCTGTATCAAAATTTGTTGGGGGGTCCAAATGAAAGGTAAAGATTTTTCACAAAAGGAACAAAAACCCTTGCAATCAGAAAATCGTCGTCCTTATTCGCTAGCAGAATGTTTTTTTATAGGATAGGGTGACAAACGAGCACACAATCCACCTGATGGTAAGTGGTTGCTGTGACTCATAAACATCTACATCTATCCTCAATAAAGAATCAAAATACAGATGCGTCATCACCCGTGCTGAATGTTCCTTTTCCAGCAAAATGGGTCTCCGGTTCTCTACTATCACCATACGAAACACAGCAGTGTCAAGCTGCCATTTTACGCTATTCTGTGAGAGCGTGGTCCTTCCCCGATCGAGCCGACCCATTCGTGCTGCAACTATACTTCTAATATAGCTGCAGTATGGCTCTACCATGTATAAAAGCTGAATGTCTGGACTAAATGCCTAGCGTCCCTCAACTGAGTCTTGTTAGGCCGGACACATACAGTCGGAATTCCGTTTCAAAAAACGGTTTGAGAATATCGATTCAGTATTACGAACGGAAAAAAGCCGTTTCGAACGCAAGTCTTTCATAGATTTTCTATGAGTCGCATCACAAATTCGTAAATTCCTTACGGAACGCGCACAGTGTGTGTCGCATTTTCGAAGCGAGTAGGTATGTTTACATATGTTTTATAATAGGTCGGGAAAAAACTTTCTTAGTATTATGTTTGCATAAAATTGAAGAAAAATCTCTTTGATTATACTGTTTGTATCTGACTGGTTTTATACTTTTCCGCCATTTCTCAATTGTTTTTCTGTTCGTCAAAATCAGTGAATCTAACGAAGAATTCGATACATTCTGAAGTTTTATTACAAAAAAGGGAAAAAAGCGACTCAAACCGCAAAAAAAGTGTGTTTATAAATGTAATGCAGTGTGAGTAGGAGTAGCACAAAGTTGGTTCAAGCGTTTTCAGTCCAGGAATTTTGGTGTCAAAAATGCAGTTCGCTCCGGTCGAACTCATACGGATAAAGTTGATACAATTTTTTAAAAAGTGGAACAAGATCGACATTTTAGTAGTTACGACATAGCCGAGAAATTTAAGAATGGCCACAAAACAGTTTTGATTCATTTGAAAAGGTCTGGCTATACAAAAGGACTCGATATTTGGGTACCACATGAGTTCACTGAAAGAAATCTAATGCATTATGTACAAATTTGCGATTCTCTATTGAAACGTAATGAAACCGTACCATTTTTGAAAATATTGATCACTAATAGTGAAAATTCACCTACGACAAGAACGTGCGATAAAAATCATGGTCAAAAGGTAGTCAAGCTCAACAGACTGTAGCGGAACCCAAATTAACACGCAATTAAGTGATACTGTGTGTAGTGTGGGATTGGAAGGGCATCGTTTATTATAAGCTTTTACCACCGGGCAAAACCATCGATTCAATTCAATACTGCCTTTAACTAATGAGACTCAAGCAAGAAATTGAGTAAAAAGGCCGGAATTGATCAACAAAAAAGAAGTGGTCATTCATCATGATAACGCCAGACCACACACATGTATTGCCACTCAGCAAAAATTGAAAGAGGTAGATTGGGAAGTGTTAATGCATCCACCATATGGTCCTGATCTTGCATCCTTAGATTTTCAAATATTTCGGTCTCTTCAGAATTCTTTGGGCAGTATTAGGTTAGGTTAACTTAGCGTCTTATCGCATTTGCTTGCTCAAAACTCCCAAGATTTCTTCGGGATTATGTCACTACCTACAAGATGGTAACTAGTTATCGCACAAAATGGCACCTATTATAGTTCGGCCGTTCAGAGAATGCGTTCCTGACACCTATCAGTTAGTCACGACTAGTGATGGGCACAACATAACACTGAGTTCGTTACCGTTCCTCCAAAATGAACCGTCGCGTTATTTTTAAGATTATTTTCGTTTTAAATTGGCGGAATCATTTAAAATTTATATTTTAGTAATTTAAGTGGAAAGCAAAAAAAGGTAATATTAATATAATAAAATTGTTTTATTTATTCTTTGTTACAAAGTTACAATCTGTATTTCTATGCAATAAAGTACATTGAATTGAATGTGCGTACAGAATATTAATCAGACTCCGATTCGCTTGAGGAGGTGGTGTCTTCATCATCATCTTCGCCTAC